TCACATGGTTAGACATTTTGAAACAATATCAATATAGTACGTCAAAAACAATCAAGGAAACGAAATAAACAAATACACATGAAAAGAAAACAATGTGTTTTCCAAATTGTAATATTCATTCGACAACATCAATCATATGGTACATAAAATAAAAACCATTTGGACAAACAAATAATAAAATACAAAACATATCTATAATGTTATTATCACCCGAATTGTAACCAATATATGAACATATCATTAACCAGATTATCTCTAAATTGAGTCCAATAATCAGATGACTCAACATGCATAATCAAATATTGATGATCAGATTCATCTGGTTGAAAAATACTTTCTTCAACAACATCCTCTTTAATAAGATCAAAAATCATCTTAGATCTAATAAAATTATGAAGAAGGTAACAAGAAAAAATGATTCTATATTATGTCTTAATTGAATAAAATAATTTCTCCCTTAAAATTGTTCATCTAACTTTCAATATACAAAAACATCTCTCAATACAATTTTTTTGCTTGAAAGTGTTTTATGTTAAACTATTTCTATGTGGTCGTCAGTTGGAGTTCTGTCCTCCAATCACTAAGATGGTATCATTAACATTTATAAAATACGAAAAAAAAAATTTTATTTGTATATCCAACATCACACAAATAGTAATTACCTGTTAAAACGATCAATAACATTACTAATATATAAATAAGCAACATCGTTATTAACATTACAAAAACATAATACAAATAATACCTTGTGAAATCCTCAACCCATTCCTACATGTAATGACATCCTTTAACACTTTGTCATATGCTACAGAACCTTCTCATCTTGGTAAAACATATATGAATTGCATATCTGAAGTGCAAACACCAAGGATATTGGAAGCAATTTCATTTTTTCTTATCCTATATCTAAGTCGATCATCTGCATCAACATTGACGTTAATATATGTCCAATCTAAGGCATTCAAACAACCCTTGAACTATTTTCATCTTATATCCATCGAATTTTTTTATATGGGTTCAAGTTTTTTAAATAACATATGCAATCTTAATACAAAATTCAACACAAAATGAAATTATCTATTAATTATTTCTCCGGATTTGACCATTTAATGCTTGATAATCTTATTTTTTGTATGATGAGTAATAATGTGAAGGAAGCTAATTTTACAAAAACTCTCTTGTCCATTCTAATATGATCTACACATTGTATATCACTCTCAAAGATCATTGCATTTAACTCTTTAATACGTAATTTATCATAAGATATTCTACCATAAGATAATCTACGTCATTTTTTTACGTTAATATTTAATAAAGTTATAGCAACAAAATATAACAAATGCAACAAAATCTCTATCTGGTTCAATTGTATCATAAGCAATATAACCAATCACATCTTCTTTAGTGAAAAACCAACCATAACTATTTAGAAGAAAGAATTTCGTTATAGTTGAAAACATAATGGAAAGCAAATCTTAACATATGATGGATAAAATCCCCCCACCTCATCAAATAAAATATAAATCACAAATAAAACATTGAAAGATTGGAAGAAGCTAAAATAATTTGACCACAAAACATATAATATAGATCGAAAACATCTTTAATCCAGAGCTAAACGACATATAAAAAAGGAAAAAATAAGTTCATTAGAAGGCAACATGGATTACACACTATCAATCAGAAAGTATACAAACCGTTTTGTGTAAAAACCAATGATGAACTGAACAAGACGAAGATTAAATGACGAATGAAAAAGCTGAAATTTTTTCAAAAAGAAAAGTAAATGCTATGAGCTAAGATCTGTTGAAATATAAATTTCAATTGTATTTGTAATTGAAACATAAAGAAGACATTTGATAGTTATATTCTCTTTTGCTTCATGATTAGAAGTTAGAACGTTCATATTGTCAGAACACGATCATCAAAAGAAAAACAAAATTTTAATATGAGAATATTAAAGGCAGTTGCAGGAAGAAACACTTCAATTGATAACCAATTAAGACATTTTTTCAAACAAATGCCTTAATCATTTATTTATAACATATCTTAAAAAAGATCATGTCATAACACTATGATCTATAAAACATAAAAAAAATAATTTTTAAATAATGGTCATTTAAGGGATTTTTTGGGCAAAAACATTTTGAAGAATCTCTTATAAAAAATTAAAAGAGATTATTTAAGGTATTTTTGGTTAAAAATACCTTAAATAATCCTTATTAAAAATTTAAAAAGATTATTGAAAGTGTTTTTAATTAAAAACATCTTGAATAACCCAATTCGATTTTATGAGTGAATTATTCAAGAGATTTTATGGAAAAAAACACCTTAAATAATCTTTAATACAAAATTAAAAAAAATTATTCCAGACTTTTTTTATCATAAATGTCTTAAATAATCACCTTATAAAAATTGAAAGAGATTATTAAAGATATTTTTTATCAAAAACGCATTCAATAAACTCATTAAATTATATGAAAGGATTATTCAAGATGTTATATGAACAAAAACGCTTTGAATATTTCCCAAAATCCAAAAATTTTTTTGAGTTATTCAAAATATTTTTGTTTTAAAATGCCTTAAATAATCACTTTATAAAAATTAAAGTGAATTATTAAAACTAATTTTTACCAAAAACATTTTAAAATACCTCTATTAATTTTTTTTAGATTATTCGAAGCGTTTTTACAATATTATTCCAAACGTTTTTAGGCAAAAACATCTCGAATAATCCATAAAAAATGATAAAATTATTGAAAGTGTTTTTGATTAAAAATATATTTAATAATCACTTACAAAAAATTTAATAAAAATTATTGAAAGCATTTTTAACAAAAAATGCTTTCAATGATCGCCTTACAAAAAATTTTTAAAAATTATTCAATATATTTTTAATTAAAAATACTTTGAATAACCTTATTCATTTTTTTGTTAAAAAATTAATAAAAACATTTTTAAGCCAAACACCATATATAAATAAATTTTTTTACCAACATAAACCTACAATTACCTTACATTCATTTTTAAACATGCTTTTCAAAATAATGATTGTTTCACAATTTTTATGTTAAATTAAATTTAAAAATAACGTTATTTTTTCCCTGTAAATCCCAGAACACCCCAAAGAGATGTGGGGTTTTTATTTTAAAACTTTAGGTCCAGTTAAGAATATGTCAAATTTCCTTAAAATCAAATTATTCTGAATCAAATATTAGAATCAAATATCCAACAATAAGATTTTAAAAGACAATGTGTAAATTTTCTCAAACCAAACGCCCCTTAAAAGAAATTATATAGTACTAAAAAAATAAGATTTTTATGGGGGCAATTGCCCCCTATTTTCTACTTGTAATTTGTAATCCGTTTCTATCAAGGGTTAGCCAAAGAATTAAATGACAAAATTGATAGCCACCGTAAGCCTTGACGCAAAGCTAAATGCAGACTTTAAAATGACAAAATTCCTCCTTTTGAGTTAAAAATTTCAATTTCAAGTCATTGGCCACCTTGACGGCATAACCACTCTATTGACTAGTTTGAAGGCTAACCAAATTACCAAACGAAACAAAGTTAGTACTTACTATTTGTTCTCTACAATTATCCATGATTTGAGACATCCACCAAGAGAGCCAATGCAACAGAACAAACCTACATTTCCATCAATTTCAACAACAATGTTGCTCAAAAGTTCTTCCAAAACTTTAAATTTTCATATAACAACATCAGATCAAAGGAAATGAAAAGTTTAGTTTCAACTTTCAATATCATCAAATCTAACATTAGAAATAATCACCAATAAATTGAACTACACCCACATTCTACCCAACCATTCTGTTTATGAATGAGTTCCATCATGTAGCATCATTCCAATGAGAAGAACTGCCTAAACTTACATCCCTCAGCCCGGTGATTATTTGTAGCTATACATGAAAGCAGTCTTAAGAAACCACAACATGAATGGCTATAGCAGTTTTGCAGTTTTGCCTATTTGACTCAGACAACTAAATTAACTGCCAAGTGAACCCAAATGCAACAACTATATTCCATGTATGTAGCAGATTTCTTCATGGGATATTCAATATATTTACCATGGCAAGTAGCAAAAAATGCAGAAAGAATTTTCAATGTAAGCTTATAAGATTTCTTCGTGGGATATTCAATATATTTCCCATGGCAAGTAGCAAAAAATGCAGAAAGCATTTCCAATGTAAGCTTATAAAGAATTAATGAATACATTTCAACTTCTTCAATAATTGGTAACTTCACAATCTTCACAAAATTCCAACACCAAAAGTATCTTCAGCTCATCACCTATTCCCCCATCCCAAACCAAAGAAGGAAAAAACATAGCATTTCATATGGTAAGCACCTAAGAATGCTATTACAAAACACATTTTTCCACTGCATATTCATATCAATGACAGAATTCAATCTTGTTAACATTTAGGAATGCCAGTAACATCAACTTATATGGCACATATTCAGAAGTTTGATTCACAGAAAGTAGTACGTATCACATCCTCTAAATCAGTAATAACTATTAAGCAGTCTAATTTTCGAAGGCCTTTGGAGAAAAAAGAAGGAAGTTCAATCTCAATTCTCAAAGCTGTTCCACATGAGGAAAATAGAATAAATTACAACTTACCGGTTATAACCTCAAGACATCATAGTTCTTATCTTGAAGCTTTTGTTGAACCAAGCTTCAGAATCTCTTGTGCTGTTGGGCCTATTATATCTTCTATCAAATACTTATATCCCATTGCAAATGCAACCAAACCAATAAATCTTGCATCAAACTACTACATATTTCTTGGCAAAAAAGTCAATGAAACAAGAAGCATTCTTCTTTGGATTATAGGAAAAAAAGCAAGGTAAAAATTAACAATTAAAAGACGATAGAAAAATGTTTACCGAATCATTATATACCTTCCATGATTGCTAAAATTGTTACAGTGTCAAACAAGTTAGTAGAAAAAGATAAAGAACCGTAGAGGCAAAAGTTAAAATGCTTTTCTTCTATGTTGAATTACAAGCCGTGTAGACAGAACTAAAGAACCCAGAGAAAGAATCAATAGACAAAACAGCAACAAGAAGATTGAAAAAAAAAAAATGCCAATCAACAAGTACCCATTTACAGAGGATCTAACCAAGGACCCATATCCGCAATATATATATAATCCTTTTCTCAGCTCATAAAAGGAAATTTTCTCAATCCAATAAAAGAACTCCCTGAAAATAATTGAATTGCAAAAGTAACCGAAAAACTTGGCGAAATTTTCATGAAGAAGAAGAGTATGTCTCGTATGGGCCTTTGACTTTCAACAACTGCCTTCTCTTGAAAACCAAGAACCCAACAATACCAATCTGTAAGATGATAACAACGCCGATGAACAAAAGCCCAAGCTTTTTCCCTGTATTGAGTTTGTGACTATGTGAATGTGGTGGAGGAGGAGGTGGTGGCCGCTGCGTATGGTGATTGGTTTGATTGTTGTGACGCTTTGGTGGCGGCGGTGGACGAAAAGGAGGTGGTGGTGGAGAGCGAACCGAAGGCGGAGGAGGAGGCGGCGACGGTGAAGATGGTGGTGGTGGTGGTGGTGGTGGTGGAGGAGGAGGAGGGGAAGGGGGAGGGGGAGGAACTAGTGATGGAGGTGGCGGAGGTGGTGGACTTGTATTAGATGATTGTGACTCAACAAAATCAGCAAAGATTGTAAACAAAAGGCCGAAACCCAAAAGCACCAATCGTGATAATGGCGGTTCCATACTAACAAAAGCTAAGCAAATCCAAAGCCTTTTTGGGGGTTAAAATTAAGGATTAGGCAGCATTCTTGCTTTTGGATATGACCCAAAAGTCTTGCCTTTTGCTTCTTCAGCTTTCAAAGTCTAAGAACTTTGGACTAGGCTTTCAAAATTAGGGTGGATTTTTGCATCTGGGTGTTCGAAAATTCTTCTTGTTTTGAGAAATCAAGCAAATGGGTATCTTCCAAAATTTTTGACTTGATTCTATTCTGCTTCGCCAATACAAAATCTAGGGCTTTTCAAAGATTTGGTACCGAAGATTCAGGGTTTGGCCTGAGAAAGTTACCTGTTGTGAATCTGGGTACTTGTGATTCCATCCCCCTATTTTGAAGGATCAATGTAATGAATCAAAAAAAAAAAAATCTTTCCGTGAAGATTCAAAAAAACAGAGAGGGAAGACATTTTTGGCGCTTATGCGATGAACCTGAGGGTTTTTCAAAGATATTCTCGATTTCTTGAAAAATACCAAAAAAAAAAAAAAGACAACTCATAAGAGGAATGGGTCAAAGAGGTTGTAGAGAAAACGGATTAATGAAAGATTTAAAAGACTACTTTCACATTATCGAATATGCCACAGCAAGAGAGAGAGAGAGAGAGAGAGACAGAGATAGAGACAGAGACAGAGACAGAGACATCGCTTGCTTCAACGGTTGGTAGCTAATTTCGGGTATACTGATTTGCATAGGGAGAGAATCTTAAGACCTGTCTTTACTCTTTAGAAGAGAGAGAGAAGGAAGGGCATAACACAGAAATGAAAAGATTTGGTTGATTTGTTGCCTTGCGGCCATGATAAAATTTTTTTCCATTTCTTTTCTTCTTTGTTTCTTTCCTCTCATGGAGCAAGCATTGTGTGGATCCATGTCCTTGGGTTAATCAAGGGATTTTGGACTTCAGGTCCATAAACAGTGCATTATCCTTGAATTTTACCCTACAAAATCAGCCCAAGTTTTTTTGTCACATACCCATTGCCCCCGCCAAATATATTTCTCTATTTGTTATGGAAAATATGCTAGGAGGAGGTGAGATTTCCCCTGCTTCAGATATTTCCATATAAATAAATTTCAATGGAAAAAATTTTGTGATGAAGGACCCACTTTTATAAAAGTTTAGAACACAATAATGCAATTGACATAATATTAGTTTGAATATAACTATCAAAATCCAATTTCAAAATGTACTAGAGAAGTACAAAAAAAGAGAAAGATGTCCTAAGTACTTACGTTGCATGTGTTTCTTTTTTGGTTTGTTTTGGAGGAAAACTGACTTTGATGATTTAGACAAAGTCATTGTGTTGGAAGATATTTAACTAATGCTAATCTTCTTGAAGGAAGTACAGGAGTAAAATATGATTGTCTCGAATCCAAAACTTATCTTATTTGATTCAGATAATAATTTTAAAATGTAGTATTTAATATTTTTAAAATTCAATTTTTTATTTTTTATTTTTAAATTGAGATTTATTTTATAAAAATTTTGTTTGTTTCACAAAAAATGATTTTCATATTTTCAATTTTTTTTTACAAAAAATTTATTGGTCAAGAGAAAATGGTTTCCTAATTAATGAAAAATGAAGTTATTTTTTGAAAATTATATTACGAATTTGAAAATGAGAAGACATTTTCCCCAAAAAATTTGTTTATGAATAAAACTATTTATTAAAGCATAATTTTACTTATAAATAATATTATATTAATAAATAATATTATATTAATAAATAATATTATAATAAAATATTATTACTTTAATTAATAAAGATTATAATAATATATTAATAAATAAAATTATTAATAAATAACATACTATTAATATAATATATTAATAAATAATATAAAGAATAATAAATAGTTTTATTTTAAGTTTTTTTATTAACATAATATTTTAATATTAAATATTATTATTAAGATATAATTATTTTTAATATTAATAATTTTAATAATAAATAATTTTAATATATTTAATAATAAATAATTTTTAATATTTTAATAGTTATATTAATATTATTTGAAAAAAATTTTCCATAAAACAATCAAATAAAGGAAAACATTTTTCATTAACTTATTCAAGCAACAAAAAATCTTTTTCAATTCAAAAAATATAAATATTTTTTAAAAATTATTTTTTAGAAGTTATTTTCTTGAGATAAACGAAAAAAATAAGATTTTCTTGAAATACAAATCAATGATAATTATTTAAACAAGGGTTGGACTTGGGTTTGTGTGATAGCTTGAAATGCGTAAAGAATGGGGGCTGTAGGACAAAGTGTCAACTAAAAATTATCTACGCAGCCCATTAGATGAAACATAAGCCCAAAATAAGTTAAACGTACAAATAACGCCGCTTAGCCATTATCTTACGAAAATAGCAGTACTAGTATCTGATTTTTTAATTTTTTATTTATATAAAATATAAAAATTATTATATCATAATTTATATTAACACGTGAAATATTATCTTAATTTATATCAACATATCAAATACAAAATTATTTTTTCTTTTTAGTTTTTATCAAAATCATATATAATTTTTACTAAAATTTTAAATTTAAATTGTGTTTTTTCTATTATTTTTGTTTCATGTTTAAATTGTTAGATTAATGTGTGTGTGTATATATATATATATTAATATTACTATTATAGAAAGCTTATTTTAAATGCAGATTATTTTTATTTCATCTAAAGGTGTAAATAAATAAAGCTTTTGATAAATTGTATGTTAACATATTTGGTTTATATTCATTTATTAAACTTAATAAATAATTTTAAATAATATTTTTACTTTTATTTATTAAACAAACTAAATAAAAATAAATGTCTTTTTAATTCATTTATATTCGTGAATAAATTTGTTTAAAGTTAGTTTAAAACTCATTTATTTAGGATTCATTGTATTTTTAATTTTATATTATATGATTATTTATTTAAATTTATTTTGTTATGATTTATTTATTATTTATAAACATATTTATTTATTATTCATAAACATGTTCATCTATATATATATATATATCTATAAATATGTTTGTTTAATATTCATAAATAAATTTATTTAATTTAAATAAACCGAATATGAAGATCTTATCATTTAAATAAAGTAAGCTCAAATATGTTAAACAATTTTTATATCGAATACAAATCAAATATCAACAACTTTAAAAATAAACAAATAAATTAGGAATATATATATATATATTTATATTTGATTTATTTACATGTCTAATTCCAACTCTAGCTATTTTGCTTTGAATCGAGACGGATCTATCAGTTATAATTTTGAAATGCAAATTTTTACACTAAAAAGCAAATAATATTATAGCAGTATATTCTAATGTAAATTGATGGATGATTTTGCAAATTAATACTGTTACATATATCATCTCTTATTAGAAGTTTTAAAAATAAAACATACTTAGTGTCTGAATGAAGGTGATGAGCAAAATACCAAATTAGGAAATCTCTTTGTTAAAATACTAAAAAAACTTTTTACTTTTCTACATTTTTTATATAAATCTCTATATTTTAATTGTATTTAATTAACCCTTAAATATTATTTTTATTTAATTAGACACACTTTTGTCCAATGAATTTTAATGACTTTTATGCAAATTAAAAGTTTAATTAAACAAAAATAATACTCTAAAAATTTATATTAATTAATAAAAAATTAGAATTTATTTGAGAAATTTGAAAAGATATTGTAATTTTTTTTAGTTTTTTAGTCTTTTGTATATTACTAATCGTACATTAGAAGTATAAACTTAAAATACATATACGTTAATTTGTCAATTTCTTTTTTTTTTCCCTCAAATATCTGAGCTAGATTCACCGACTTTTTGGCTTTGTGAGCAGGCAGGAGGGCAAGGTTACCCCTAGAAAAAGAGCAAAGTTCACATGGGGGAGAGATGGAGAGGAGCAGAGCAGCCCTTTGGTACATAGTGCAGTGCAGCTAGGGCAAGCAGCATGTTTGGCCGGATCCACTGTCATCACCCACCGCAGTCTATATACAGTGTCCGAAATTTTGTCAGCAAAAAAGACTGTCCTTTACCGCTTACCCCCATAGGCAAAGGGGTTGCTCTTGTCTCGTCAATGAACCCTTTTCGTAAAAGCCTCCTTCGAAATAAACAACCCCCCCCCCCAGTAAAGACCTCGAAAGTGATGCCTTTATGTCTATGACAAACCAGTCAGTGCAAAACCAGGTTTATTCATTGATTCATATATTTTCAATATTTTGTAATCGGCATGTGTGTGAGAGTGAGAGACAGCTTGCGGAGGTGCTGGAATTGCAGAGACAGCGAAGGTTTAGAGAAGAAAATAAATGGAGGGATGGGTAATAAGTCAGAGATGATGGAAATATTAGTATGATTAAGGACTTACTGCCTTGGAAATTGATGCCATTGTTTCGATTACAGGCCTGCATTCAGAAACTGGCTAGAGGCACGCGAGGTGTCCATAAGAAGGAAATGTTGTCCTTGAACAATTTAATTACGAATTTGTTGCCTTTGGGATTTTGGATGCCCTTTATCATCAGTAAATGATTTGATTTGTTGCAATATATATTGTTCATTTTGGAAAGTCTCCTAATTTTTTCTTGAAAGAAAGATGTTACTACTATTACATTTTTTTTCCTTTGACCGATTCCAAAATCTGATTCAAGGCGTCTGAGTCGGAAATTTTGGTTTCCAACTTGCTCCCAAATGTCAAATTTAGCATGATTGAGGGAACATTCAATCTTATCCAATTCTTTTCTTGATCATGAATGTCAACAGGACCATGCAACTGATAATCTAAAGAAAAAGAGTTCACAGTTCAACTTTTATTGACAAGTAATACTATCAGTACAAAACTATAGCCATGACCTATCTAAATCAGAAGGAAAAGGACAACACATAGCTGGTAAAAGCCTTGCTACTTTCAACATATCATAACAGAACCCAAAACCATGCAAAATGAAAGTACCCTACATGGCTATACCTAGAATCCTATCCCTACCCTCTATTCCCTCCATGAACCTAGTAGATAACAGTAGTACTTTGTATCATGCACTAATGGCTGGTTCTAGCTCTACAATTTTTTTAGATTTACATAGATGTAACAGACTGTAGATTGTATCTGGGGTAGAGTTTGGTGGGGAAATGTCTCTGCATGAAGTATCTTGTCTTGTGAATTTTATTTTCTTCTTGCGAATGTTCAAGTCTGCCAGGTTTTTCTTCTTTTTTTTTTTGTTCTGCTAGATTTATGTTGATCCCTTTCTGCGCCGAATCTATCTCTAAATTTTCTCACTGCAACACCCTCTCAGTCCGTAAATATTCTCCAACTTTGGTATGCAAAGTGAAATCACCGAAATCCCGATGTTTTCCATCTTTCCATTCTGCAATATTTATTGTTTTTCTATCGATCTTATCTCATGCACTTGATTTACAGAGTTTCAGGTTTAAAACAGAAGCTTTTTTTCTTTTATTCCCAAACAATATAAAAATGCAATAAACCTACTATATTCATTGGTATATAGTAGGACCAAAACAATGGTGATTCCAATGTTTCACCGTCGTGGCAAAAATCAGAGGAGCCAGCCGGAACCCACATAGAAGATATTTTTGTCACCTGGTTGGAGGTTCGATTTCGTGGCATGAAGAGGGCGTCGGGTTAGCTAGAACACAGAGGGAGAGAGAGAGAGAGACGCAAACAGCACAAAGGCACGCAAGTTAAGGAATAACCCTTTTGTTTCACCAGCCAGAGCAAGCAGGCTTTCAATTCTCTCTTCGGTTCTCAAACGAGTCAAAGCTTAGTTCCAAAGGCAAAAAAATTTTCTCAAATCTGAGTCAGAGGGTATCCAGTTTTGACTCTTTAACTACTAGCATAATGACTAACTTCTATATCTCTCTTCTATTCTAACAGGTTTAAAACACTAATCTTCCGCCGTTACCCTGTTAATGTGAAGACTAAAATCTTATTTCGGATGAAAGCGAGATCAATCCCAAAATTTTTACAATTAGTGAAAGATTTCAGATTACACAATCAAAGGCTGGTCGGCCTGCTGTTTCTCTCCCTACAAGCACTGTAGTAGAGGTACTGTGAGCCTGTGATTGTATTGTCTGTGATAGAAAAAGGACCATTTGCTAGATAGCTGAATGACTTTGAAATGAAATTGAGCATGCTCCCCAAACAGGCGATACTTTGCTTTTTCTCTAACCTTTACCTTTTAATTTTGTCTTTTTCATGTCCAAAAATCCCATTCTTTAATTAAAAAGGAACCAAAATATTCAAAAAAAAAAAAAAAAAGACCAACTAAACCGCTGAAAAAGATTAAAAAAAACAGAAGAATGATTGGTAGATCATCAGGTAGCATCTCTGCTGGCCTTCGGTTCAAGCTCCATATTCCATTGCTTTCAACTTTATTAGACTAGATTCCTAGCTAGAGTGTATTGATAAATGGAGTCAGGCGGCAAAAATAACAAACTAAAGGCCTTATCTTTCCATTAGATTTTTGATAAGGTAAGAGAACAGTTAGTTCATATTGAAACTAATTAAAGACCTACGACCATTGAATTCCATGATATTCTGTGTGACATATCCTAGCCTCTTTCTAGCTAGTTTTCTAAGTTGAAACTAAACCACTTTTCCTTCATCAATTAGCGTCTCTGAAGTTCTTGAACAATTTAATGTGGATCACTCGTTCCAAAGTGCAAATATTGGGACCTGGTGAACTAAACCCACATTGCCTAGCCGATTTTCATTTGAATTCTCAGTCCCATTGTTGCCATCTTCGTACTTGGGACTCTGTAATAAGTAGCCCTGACCCTGAGAGTGGTCTCCACCAATGCCAAACTGATCACTAGCTAATCCAACTGAGCATTTTGGACTTTGGGGGTTAGAGGAATTTCGGCTATTTGAAGTTGCCAAGGATGCATCATTGTTAGTGTTATTACTTTGATGCTGCTGCTGATCATCTGAATTTGCACTCCAGACCATGCCAGCCAATTCATCAGATGCTTCACCACTTGATATAGCTAGCAGGGGTTGAGCAGCTGTTGATGAATTACATGAATTGTAATCCTCAAGAGCGATGGAGGCAGACTCTTTTGGTGAGCGTTTTGCAAGGTCACCCCCAATAAGAGTGGAGCTTGAGCAAATTCTCTTTACATCATACCTACTTATGTCGAAGTTGGTCACTGCACTAGTCCCCCTAAACTTAATTGCAGCAATATCATAAGCTTCGGCAGCTTCTTCTTGTGTGGCTATAATGTATAACAAAAGTTATTATTGAATGTATATCACAGTTAGGATTCTTTGGGAATTGACAGCAAAACAAAAGTTACTGACATGATCTGGTGGAACTGGTAAAGAAACTTAATGCAGGAATTGAAAGATAAACTGAAACTGATTCCATCATAAATTGTTGCCAACTGGGAGAACACTATTTATTAACCCCATTGAACTAGAAACCTATAATCATTAACTTCAAAGTCTATAATAACTCAATTAATTGAACAGTCATGAGAGATGTTGAGACATGGCAAAATCTAAACACTGAAACAAAAGTTAAAAGAGAGGAAAAAAAAGGAAGTACTGAAGCTTACTAAATGTTCCAAGGTACAAGTCCTTGTTTCCAGCAACCCTTCCTATTCTAGCTTGCCACCTTCCATGCTGATGGTGCCTACCCAAAGACAGAAAAGAGCTTGACACATAAAAGGAAAGATTGATAGATATAAAGTTGGATGGCCATTGAAATAATGTATACCAAGCAAGAATATACACATTTGATACTTGAGATTTATCTGCATGTATATAATATTGTTTGCCTATTATTGCCTACTATGGAATTGAAAAGGCTGCATAATTGCAGTAAATAATGGAAAACTTTATAATTGAGGTCGTTTTCTGCCATTACCTTGTCACTCCTCTGTACACTGATGCTCCTCTTGAAAAACCACTGCTTTTCCTGTCAAAAGAGTAATATGTTAATCAATGTTGCAACTTCTTTTGTCTGTCTTCTTTTTTTTTCCTTTTATCTTTGAATTTAAATGGAGAAGACTCATAAAAGACTTGTACCTTCTCAAATGAGCAACAAATTCTTGACGGGTCATGTTCTTCATCTCTTCCAGCTCCTTCTCATAAGTAATCAACTAAAAGGACAGCAGTAAAGAATTACTTTCTTGTACTATAATATATATAAATGATTCTGCTTGGTACTTGCCCATGAAACCAACTGTTAAAGCCCAATGCAAAAAACTTACAGGAAAATTTATATGAGTTGTTGGACCCCAATACTTCAGAGCAGCTAAGTCATATGCCCTTGCTGCTTTTTCTTCCTTGTCATAACCACCTGATAATCCACATTTTAAACAAAAAGAATAAAACGATTGAAAAAACTGCACAGAACCCAATGTTTCATTGCTCTTATAGTTAAATACTTTAAAAAAGTTACTCCTAAAATGTTCAATAAAGAAGAGATTCGCAAAAGGATATGGGAGTTCGCTTACCAAGATAAACTGCAGAGAATCGAAGGATGGGAGAACCAGGAAAGTGAGTGAAACATAAGCAAAAATAAATAAGAATCAGAAAAAAAAAATGGAGAAAAACAACAGTCAACAGTGATTGAAATGAATATTTTTGCTGCTTTCACCTTGCCTCCCTTTCCTTGTTTGTCCCTCTTTTCTACAGCTATTATCCCACAAATGAGCCTCATATCTTCCGGTCCATCTATGCCTATTAAGTTTTCAATGCACAAATAGACAACAATAAAAAAAGGGGGAAAAGAACTAGATTCTCGATATTTGAAATTCCGATAACAAGGAAATTTAGAAGGCAAAAATACCTCGTAACACCACGATATTGAGAGGTTCTTTGACCAAAAGTATCAATAGATTTGCGAGGAACTGGTTCTCTGGCTAGGGTCCTTCCAACGGGTCGTTTACGGTTTTCAACAAGTTCCAATGGTGCAATTGCAACCAACCCATTTTGGGAGCTTGGGCTCATGGTAAGAGAGAGCGACTGAAAATTACAATTATTACTTGCTTCACCTGAAGTTCTCCCTCCAGAAAATGGAGTTTCTCTCAACCAGGACTTGAACCCTGAAACTGAAGCTGCACTCTCAAAAGGCACATGGTACATGCCATTGTTTTGGTTATGATTAGGGTTTGGATCACACTGTTGGAGGTTGTGATCACTAGCCATTAGGGTTTGAGGGTTGCCGTTGAAGTGGTAAGTTTGGATCAAAGAAGATGGATTTGTGAAATTCTCTCCAGTTTCCATATCCCCATTACCGTTATAACTTGGAGCTACATTGACATTGATTCTAGCAGAAATACTGTTTTGGTTTTGGTCTTCTTGGGTTTGGCAATAAGCTTTGGTCTCCTCAGATGGAGAGTTTGAGTAACAACACCCCAAGAAATCTTCAAGTTTAGGACCTTCCTCATTTGCACTTCGAATACCATTTTCATATCTCCAATCTGCAAATCAGAGTTGGGAAAAGAAATAAAAAATAAAAAAAAAGAGGACCCATTTCTTGTTATTCGATCTTTTCAAGTTTATAGCTCCAAAAATGAAAAAGATGAGAGTAAAGAGACTTTTTCCTCGCATGCAACCAAAATTTAACCATTGAAAGCGAACATGCATGGAGCAAAGTTAAAGTAACATATATGGTTTACTAGATACTATTTCATTGTGAAAGATATAGAAAGGTAAAGATTAGTGAAAGAATGAAGCAAAAAAACCTTCAGCGCCATTAGAAGAGCGACGAAAAGGATCAACAACACAAAGAGAGCCATCAGAACGCAAAGGCATGACAGAGGAGAAACCTCCATGGTCTTGTCTGCCAAAGCTTTCATCGATTCTAAGGTGTGGAGTCAGAGAAAACCCCAACCAATTACTCATGATGGTGATGATGATCTCTTTTATCAACACAATCTACTACTCTTTTTGCACACCCTTCTCTCGAAAAAACAACACACAAAAAAATAGAGAGGCAGTTCTCCCACTCTCTCTTTCTCTTTCAGCTTTGTCTTTTTTGTCTCTCTATAAAAATGTTATAAGTGCTGTTCTTCTCTTTCACCGTGACTTTGGGTGGTGAAAGAGCTCAGAGTTCAAAAAACTAGAAAATTTTCTTCACACAAACAAGGCTCTTCTCTCATCTTATATTCTCAGCACTGCATCTGCATCTGTTTTGCTAATGGATGCGTTGGATTTCGTGCCGTCTCTTGCATTTCCTTCTCAGTTTTTGCAGAGGTGGCCATCACATAAATATATATATTATTATGGTGACAAAAATGAAATTGGGATATGGCCAAAGCATTTAGGCCTCCAATTTGCTACAACGATGATCCATGGATTCTTCAAGTTTCGACACTGATGATTCACTAAAATTAAATCGGATTTTGATGGACCGTCAGGAGTTTAGGTAGCCTTGGTCTAGGGGAAATTTGAAAAGCAGCAAATCTCTGCTAAAAAAGTTTTAGAGCTTTTGTCAACAATCGGTCCAAGTAAAGCTGGTGGCATGTAATGTAAGCAGCACATACTACAGGAGCGTAGTATCAAGATTACACGGACCCGTGGAAAGGATCAATTTATATTGTTATACAATTAATTAGTTTTATATTTTTTAAATCATTAATTTGAATAAACCAAAAGAAAAAGACAGACAAGTGAAAATGAAAAAACATTATTTAATCACATCGCTTCTATATATTAAAATCCAATGATTATAAAAATATAAATTAATTCTTCCTCAAAATAACTTATCTAATAAAAACTTTAATAAAAATTTTATATTGACAAATTAATAAAATTTAATATAAAAATTAATAATATGTAAAAAATTTTAAAAATATTATTTATAATTCAAATTTGATAAATACTTATTCAATAGAAAAAATTTTATCAATAATTTTATTAAAAATATCTATTTAAAAATATATATCAAAATTTATTAAAATTTTTTAAAATTTTGTATATTTAATTTATATAACAAACCTTTTAATTTATTAATTTATTTTTTATTTTAATTTTAATTTAATTATTTATAATAAAAATATTCACGAATTTCAATTAAAATTTTCATATAAATCTTTCTCCACCTCTACTCACTGCCCATGTTTAATTTGTTTTAGCAATCCTTAAAAACAAAATTTACAAGAGTTGGGATAGTGTTAATGTTAATGTAATTATTGTAATCTACGATGTGATTACAATGTAATTTGATTTTCTTTTAAATTAATCTTTTGCATGTCTATACAATATCTAGATAGTAATTTTCGTTGAAATATCCATTTTACCCTTTTGATTTTTTAGACGGCAATGCCTTTCTTGTATTAAACGATAAAAAAATCCTTTTTTTTAAATAATAAAATGCTATAATACCTCCTTTTTCTTAAATAATAAAAATATCTCTCTTATAAATGTGTTATAATATTTCTTATATATTAAATGACAGAAATACTGTTTTTATAAATGATGAATTATTATAATTTCTTTATGTCATTATTACGAAAATACTTATGATTTTATAATTTGTTAAAATTATTACAATATCCCTTATACTATAATTATAAAAATGCTTTTACTATCATGATTGACCAAAATTGATATTATATTCTCTTATCATAATTATAAAAATATCTTCTTATCAAAATTGCTTAAAAGAACTATAATGCTTCTTACCATAATTATAAAAAATATCCTTATAATTGCTTCATAAAAAGTTGACATTTATTTTTTTTTAAATTATAATAATACCTTTTTTAATTTACATATTAAATTTTAACATAATAATATAAAAATTAATCATATATTAAATTACTAAAATACATTTGTCATCATTAGGGTTGATAATCCAACCCATATTTGATAGGTTTCGACCCAATTCGACCCTATACAATTTTTTTAAGTCGAATTTTAGGTAGGATTTTGTTTTTTTTTTAAGTTGAGCTTAGGTTTTAGGCAAACCCGTTTTGTCCTAACCTAATTGGTATATATATATATATATTATTTATTTAATTATATTTAATTATTTTTTATATTAATTCATTTTTATATTTATATTTTAAAAACAATAATTTATATTAAAAATAATTTTTTATATTTAAAAATAATATTTTATTAATTTCAGGTCATATCAATATGGGTTTTAAAATAAAAAATAATATTTTAATATTGAGTTTGATATTAGGCATATAAAATCGGATTGGGTTCGTGACAAGAAAAAACTCACATAGACTTAACCCATTGCCATCTCTAGTCATCGTTTTATATAAATTTAATGTGTGAAATTTTATTTGAAAATTACTATAATACTCTTTTTAAATTACATATATTAAAATTTAATATAATATAAAATTAACTACATATTAAACTATTAATCTCATTCAAATTATCAAATTGCCCCTATGGTTCTTTGATTAAGAGCTAACACGTGTCCTAAAAGATAATTTTCTTACCATAATTATAGAAATGACCTTCTTACAATAAATTACTTGAAATTACAATGATGCCCCTCCTATCATAATTTGACAAAATTACTATGACGCCTTCACTACCATAATTGTATAAATGCCCTTCTTATTATAATTAGAAAAATACTCTTCCTATCATAATTGATCAAAATTTCTATAATGCCACATATCATTTATAAATATACATATATAAGTAATATACCAAAGAAATAACAATTTTGCCCCTTCAATTTTTGTTTAATTACTTAGACATATGTAAAAAAAAATGACAATGCCCTCCTATAAACGATAAAAATACTTTTTTATAAATATCAAATCACTATAATACCCCTTATGTCTTATCTATAATTATATAATGAAAGCATATATCATTATACAATAGACACAATTATACCCTTTCAATTATTTGCTAATTGCTTGACACATGTACAAATTTATTACAATGTCCATTTTTCTATAATCAACCAAAAAAACTATAATGTCTTTCTATCATAATTGATAAATTTTTCATACTATTATAATTATAGAAATGTCCTCCTATTATAATTAGCTAAAATTACTATAACGACCTTCCTACTATAATTATGAAAATATTTCTCATATCATAATTGACAAAAATATTTCAATACTCTTATTAAATTATGTATTTATAACTATAATTAAAAGTAAACCCCGCCAAAATTTAGAAAATCTTAAATATGATAAAAATTCATCTTTTCTTCAAAATTTTAAATAAATAAAATAATAAAATTTCTAAAAAAAATAAAATGTATACATCAACATATTGTTATTTACATTGCATGCATATTTTTACGAAAAGTAAATTGTTGCCACCATCTTAACTTTGGATTTTTCAATGAAATTTTATTTTTATGCATTTGTTTAAATAAAAGTCCCACATAATTAATGTCCAAAGTTATAAAATGAAAATGCTTTGCAAAAAAAGAAAAAAAGTAGGACCATTGATCGGTTTGGTTCAAGTAAAAAAATTTTTTTTGAATTTTTTGAAAATTTTATATTATTTTTGTTATTTTAAATTTTATTATTAATATTTATTCATATTAAAATGTTTAAATTTGCTAGAATAAATTTTTTATAAATATTAATAATAAAATTTAAAAAAATTCAAAAAATTTTTTTACCTGAATTGAACTGATCAATGGTTTGATCAACGCTCTAGAGATTTCATAAAGCATCACTACACGGATTACTTTTAGGATCCCGTCAGCGAATAAAAATTCCTTTTTCTTTTTTTTATCATTATTTTATAAGGTTTATTTTTAAATTAACAAAATTATTAAAAAATTTAACTATATATTTCATTATTTATTTTATTTATTTATTATTATTATTATTATTATAAAAACAAAAAAATTTATTCTAGCAAATTTAAACTTTTTTATTGAATTATTATTTAAATTTTGAGGAAAAAAAATTTTTTATCATGTTAAAAATTTTCTATAAATACTCCAATACATTGGTAATATTTAAAAAATGTTCTCACATAAAGATTTCATAAAGCATCACTACTTGAAATACTTTTAGAATCTTATCATTAGATAAAATTTTTTTCTTATTGTTTTATCATTGTTTTATAAGATTTATTTTAAAATTAACAAAATTATCAAAAATTTTAACTATATGTTTCATTATTTATTTATATTTATTTATTAATTATTATTATTATAAAAATAACAAAAATTTATTCTAACAAATTTAAATATTTTAATATGCATAAATATTAATAATAAAATTTAAAATAACAAAAATAAAAAAGATGCATTTTATCTCATTCTTCAATGATTTGTTCAACTAAGTGATCATGTTGAAAATGACGAAAGGTTATTTTTCTCTATCTTTCTCATATAAAAAAATTATCTACTTGTTACCCATTTAAGCTTGTTAAATTTTTGTTCTAAAATAAACCCTGACCAAGGATTATTTTTTACATTGGAGGTAAAATAAGGACGTCTACAAAAGTCTAACTTTTATACAGAATGACTATGACTCAAAAATTAATTTTTATTTAGCTAATAACCAAAGAATTTAAGAAAAAACTTAAATTATTGAAAATTTATTTTTTTTTATGCTTGTTAGATAATGCTAAAAAATTTTCATTTTATTCTAAAATATTTTATGAAAATGCAAATTTTAGATAACTGCAATATGAATGAAATACATGTCAAAAGAAAGAAAAATTTTTTTAAGAAAATGCTATTCTTTTATTATCTATTTCTTTTTTTTCAAGATTTTATTATGTATTCAAGTTCTTTCTCATAATGTACATACGGATGCAAATGTCTCTTTCATAATGCACGTGCAAGCGAAGCTAATGTGATTTTTTTTGTAGCATGTAAGTCAAATGTTTTTTCCCATAATGCACGTGATACAAATACGAAGACTCTTTTTGCTTCTTTTTCAAAAGAT